TACATATTTCCCCTTTCATAAACAAAACCCGTCCTCGGGCCTTATCTCAGGGTCATGAGAGGAACATTAGCGAGTGCTCTATCAATTAAGCTAAAGGAATGATTCATAAGTAATTGGTAGTAAGGCACTTTTTTATTAACTCAAACTACCGAAACATTGGCGCCCTAAATATTTGTCTTTATTTCACTGAAAAAGCACCAATATGAAATCTCTGATTTAATCAAACAACTCTAGCAGAAATTGTTGCAGCAATGTCGAATTGAGAAAATAGCATTAAGTTAGTTCCTCAAAATATTTCGCTATTTCTAAAAACGACATGGCACTCACAAAAATGAAAGAATATCTCTACAAAATATTGTGTAGAAAAAAAAACGCAAAGAATATCTCTACAAAATATTGTGCAGAAAAAAAAACGCCTGGGTGCTATATTGACGAAGCGACACAGTGACAGAAATAAAAATCAAGTGACAAAAAAAAACGTCTGGGGAGAAGAGCTGGCGATAGCTTATTCATCCAAAGATTTCACGTTGTAATGGAGCAACAAAAGAGAAATGAATCCTCAACTACAGGTAGGTAACACGTTTGACAAATGTGTTGTAACTTCAGATACATATCACGTCTTGTATCTCTGCATTTCTCAATCACAACAGCTGTCATTTAACTATGTTTATAACCAATAAGATATGTTAATGAACCACCCACTACATTATTTCTCTGTTATTTTTATTTATATTGTATTTTATCAAAATCTCGAAGGACATAAAAAAAGAACAAAAAAACATTTACTTTACCGCATTGTACTAGCGTCTTTCACTGAGTTTGCAGTAGTGAAGACTAATCAGTGTTTTCTTATATTTTTATTGTGTTACATACAATTTATCCCGAAATTCTAAACTGTGCAGTTTCTGAAAACACGCCTTGAGTTGACAAAATATACGTTTAAAGAGCAGAAAAATATGATAAATATTTTAATAGCTCTTCACAAATCACGTTGTATCCTTTTGTTTGTTTTTTATGACAATATTCTAATTAGTCTCCCTAATTAATTTTACTATCTGATTACCTGTGTGGCTAGCTGAATCCATATGTATACATATATATATATTTCCAGAATGCAAGTATAACTATATATAACGATGCAAATATAAGTATGTTTGAAATTTGTATGACATCTTTTGTAGCATTATGTTAGGGTTAACTTCTTTTCGCAGATATTTATAGCAATAACAACTTTATTACTATCTATTGTATGAAACAGTCTTTCTGACAAAACTACACAATAGGCCAGATAACGTTTTTGTTATCATCATTTGAGTCATGAACATTTCAAATTTCATATTTCCCACCGCTTTTGAAATGGCAATTCTTCGGTCACCAGGTGTTAGATCCACAATTATTTTCATCATTCGTTACGTCAATCACAGTTTTTAAAAACTAGCCATTAAGTTAATATAATTGTGACCTTAATTAATATTAATAAGTTAGTATAATAAATATAAGCTTTCAAATCACAGAAAATAGTTTCATTTTTTAATTTAATAGAAATATATATATATATATACTTAGCAAACTTTTTCAAATATTCAGTCTCTTACATTCATTAAACCATCATCCTCCAATGACTCAGCGACAAGTCTGTAGCCGTGTAACACTAAAAACCGGGTTTCGATACCCATTGTGGGCACAGCACAGATAACCCATTGTACAGCTTTGCGCTTAACAACAAACAAAGAAAAGCATTCATTAGGGTTAGAATATTAGCTACTTATTCGTATATATCACCTTATGGAATTAGGTTTTTAAATATATCTGTTCTTAGAACTCAAAACATTGCTTTTGGTATAATTTTGAACATAATTATATGTTATTAACATATGTTCATTCATGTTCTATATATATAAATGGAATGATCTTTTGATTTTAATATGTTCCTCTTAGAAACGTCTAATTAGATTGAATAATCTACTTTTTTCTGTACACTCATCCAATATTAACCACAGCCACAACAAGTCGTCTATATCAAACCCGATATTGACGTCATCAAGTCACGTGACCGACACTTTTCACTCATCTGCATGGTATATTAGATTACGCCACTTGTTTATGGAGGAGATCTAACAGTCTTCTCATTTTCTCTACCATAGACCGTATATGTTCAACGAGTTGAGTCTTTCGTCAAGTGCTTCTGTGAACTATGACCTTGGATAGAGACTGTGTATGTTACTATACAATACGGCCTTGTCAGAAATATAAGGCTATGTAATTTTTGTGTGTATTTATAAATGAATATATATATATATATATATAGAGAGAGAGAGAGAGAGAACGAGAAAGAGCGTGGCATGAATATAAAAAAGAACCACATTCACAACGGTCTGTAAAGCTATACATTACTGTCTTAACTTGAAGAGGGTATTGTGAATGAATGTTGTTTCTTTATCTGTATAAAAAATACAGACTTTTTGCGTCAATAGTTTAATTCCTATAGCTCCCTAACGTGAGGATTGCTGACTGGGGCACTGTGTGAGGGAATTGTTCATCAAATAAAAAACAACAGACAAACCTTCGAACAAGCCGACCTCTGAAACTTATAATATTTCTTTCACTGTTTTAAATATTTTAAAAATCTGATCCTGCGTGGTGTCGAACAAACGAAAACATAAGATATTAAAATTTTATAAACAAGATATTGAATTTTACCACTCACTATAAACTTATAAGTTTGTTTAGCCCTCTCTACTCAGTTTGAGCTTTTATCCTCAATTATTTGATGTACCAGTAAGAAAACTCAAATCTTTATTACACATTCACTAAAAATATCTCCAAAGGAATTAATAATATATAAATCACCTTAACGAAAAAAACCAATAAATTTTCATGTGACTTTTAGCTTCACCATAACCTGCCCCCTGGTGGCTCAGCGATAATTCAATGGGCTTATAACGCGAGAAATCGGGTTTCGATACATACGGTGGTCATAGCACGGATAGCCAATTGTGTAGTTTGCCCCAATAGCTTAGCGGTAAGTCAACTGAATTACGACGCTAAAGATAGGGTTTCGATACCTGTGGTGCGCATAGCACAAATAGCTCATTGCGTAGCTTTACGCTTAACAACAAACAAACAGATCATCGTAACCATATATATCATACAATTGTGATTAACTTTTATGCTTTCCGTAACATACACACACAATATAATTTCATATTTTTTTTCAGAATCATTTATGCAAAATAAGTTACTCTGAGCTTAAATTGTAATTTTCATCTTGCTGGCTCCTTATGCGACATACGCACAAGATCAGAGACCTCTAAGGTTCAGGCCTAGCCATCTCTAAGTTTGAAATAATGATCAAAGGGATTTATTATTCATTATCACTTAAAATAGTGGGTTAGCTTAGCGGTCAATTTATGGACTTACATTGATAAAATTCGGGGATCGATTCTCCGTAGTGGACAGAGCTCATATACCCCATCATGTAGCATGGCACTAAAACAGATGAAACCAAACCACTTCGAAAATGCACCCGCAGCAAAAAATGCTGATGTGTTCACTGGCATCACACCTCGAATCTTGGACCTTTCAACACGCGTCATGGCAAGCTAACCATACGCTACGCTTGGCCCATTTTATATTGAAACCCGATACACAGTGACAAATTTTGTTTACCAGTATTTTCTTTTCACTTAAAGATTTAGTAGGATATTGTTTTTAATCTCACAAAAACCTTAACCAAAATAGAAAAGGTTCGCGTACGGAATTATCATTCATAGTTAGAGCCATTGTTAAATTTCAATTAGGATCGTAATTCTCAAACGTACACACAGATAGAATTATTGCAAGTGTAAAAATTTGTTAAATAACAAAATAGGAAGTAGGAATGGGAGGTCCAAAAAGTAAGGAAACAAGGTAGAAATGGGCGGGTTAACATTACAACACTCGGTGGTTTTCCACACAGTGCAGCCTCAAAGTGGGTGTGGTCATCGTTCCGCCCATTCCTACTTGGTGTGCTTTTTGTATCTTGGTAATTGTTCAAACTAAATGAAAGAAGTACATAGCTAAATTTGTCTGTTGTAATATTTATTTCAGCAACCAAGTACAGATGCATGTATGTAATCAAATTGCGTGACCTTAGCGAAATGCATGAGATCACAAGGGGGGTGTTTGATGTCGGAAGTGAGACAGGACGTTCCAATAGACATACTTTTCTTATGGGAGACATTATAGCTATGTTGCTCGTAAGGGGTGGGCCGAAGAAAACCACTGATTTTTGAAATTCTAAAATTTGTTGAGTATTTAGAAAGGATTAACTAATGATAAAACTGAATTGAAGTATATAATTGAATCAAAGTTCAAAGTAAAACACGAAGTAGGAATGGGCAGAATGATGGACACATCCACTTTGAGGTTGCATCGTGTCAAAAACCACCAAATGTTGTAATGTTATCCTGCCCATTCCTACCTTGTTTCCTTACTTTTTGGTCCTCCACTTCATACTTTCTATTTTTACACTTATCCCGTAGCTTATTTTTGTTGCTAAGTCTCGATAGTGACTGGACTATAGACCTATTCTTCTCATAGTTTTTCTTGGTGCTAAGTATCGAGAGTGACTGCACCCTTCTTGGCCTATCCTTCAAGTAGCTTTTCTCAGAGCTATCTCTCGACATTTCCTAGCTATTGCTGATATCTTTGCTATAGTTTATTTTTCATCTAACAAGGGTGACAGCCTTTTCTATGGTTGAATTATTGGCTAAAGCTTGTTTTGCATATTCAGTGTTACTGTTTCTAATCTTATCTCTATTGTTGCAGTAATGCTCTATTCTCTGAGACAAAGGCTTTTCAAGGTTATCAACATAAGAGTTTCTCATTTTCTCTCGTTTCCCTGAAAGCATATTTTAAAAATCACACTGTTTCAATTAGAACTTTAGATATCAGTAAGTCACACTTAGTTTGAAAACAATGTAAAGGTAAATTAGACAATTTATTGTTCTTGTTTTCAGTCCAGAGTGTTCGAGCAAATCCTTCACAGACTTCGGCAGTGGTAGTGTTCATCGTCACGTAGGAGACTCACGTCTTAGGCACCGACTACTATGATAGAATTGTTTTATCAACACAGAACCCTCGATCAAATGTATAGAACTAAAAACCTCACTTTCAAAGGTTAGATCATAGTTAAAACCTAGATCTAGAGAATTTATGTACTCCGCATTTTTTTGTCTAGTTGTTACAGTTGCAGGCTAATCACGTAGCACGTGCGCATGAGCAATCGTGCATCCGTACGTGTATGAGGGGGGGTTGTTATTTGGCAACTCATGGAGCATGCTCGTAATCATACAATATAGCTATTAGTGTATTGTTAGCTGATTAGTAGCGTTGCAAAATGATTATTGTTATTACCAAGGTTATAAGAAAAACGTTTTTAATCAAAGTAGCGTAATTGAACCATGTGCATTTAGATTTTCATAAAGTAAGGCAGGAGAAAGCTACGCCTTTTCAACAATGTTAGTAAGTCAGATAGTCAGATTAACAAGTTTGTGGTTTTGTGAAATTTTTGTTTTTACTTTACTGACTTTCTCAAGTACGTTGGTGGCTTGTTACTCTGCAGTTGGTTTGTTTACTACTCAACAGTGTGTGTAAAGTGCTAATAGGGTTTTGTTTACAAGCTGTTTGCAATGTGTTTGAGATTTTAATTTGTATTGCACATCTGGCCCATTCCTACTATAAGTACTACTGTACTTATGATAGTGATCATACCATAACATTTTCAAATCGAGTACAAAACGATTTTTAATATGCAAATCAGCAGGTTATGTTATAACCACAGCTAGTATAAAGCCGCGTTGGAATGGCATGTATCAGAACTAAAATTCGACATTGTTTGGCGTTAAGTAGGTGATGGATGCTACCGAAAACTGATCGTTTTTAGAAAGGATATCTAACAGCTATTTCCGATGCAAAATATTCATACACTGAGGTCATAAAGGTGAGTTCAGATCGGGATTTAGAATTTCCAAGATACCCTTTTTACTTAATGGCAATGGAAAGCAAAAGAATATGGATCAACACGGGGCACCAGGACAGTGCAGAAACAGACATGAAACAAGTTGTACCCCAGGTGTGGTAAGCAAAGTGTAATGTTTTTAAACAAATGAGAATCCACGAACACTGAAGTTAGTAATAAAAGTTGCTCACGTGCTTCAGGCAACAGTTTGTGACATAAACAAGAATGCCTTCAGTCTGGAAAAACAAACAAGCTACCTGTACAAAAATTGCTTCCACAACATATCTAGGAAAGGAAACCTAGTCGGTGGAAAACTGCAATATGTGGTGGTACTCGATAAAACATAAGTTTACTTTGGTAACTGTATAGGTCAACTGGTAGAGAAAAATAGTACACGACATCTCGTTAAACTTCTTCTTTTCTTCTTATTGAAGAGATTCATAATCATTGCTAGACACTGCCCCAGGAGCAAGCTAGGGATAAGGAAAGTGGACTGGGATCAATATTCTGGCCCTTCCTACCTCACATAAAAAACAATTTTGAACAGAAACTAGGTCAACAAAGTATGGACTCATCAAGATAAGCCATACCTCTCGTTCAACTGTTGCTTATCTTAACAGTTGAAGAATGAAACGTGTACAATCCTTTTCCAAACGAACAAATAATAGTCAAATAGTTAGACGCAGTACTTATGTATTTCTAAGCGATTGGATCGTTTAAATGGACGCTGGAAACTGTTATTTTTCTATACTAGATGGATTACACTGGGCAACAAAAGAACTTTTGCTGCTACTAGAAAAAATGCAACAGTTTCTGAGTAATTTGACGATGCTGATTCTAAAAGTCATGTCGAAAGTTACTAATCACCTCTAATTTTCGAGTTATGATAGATTTATTAACTTAAAAGATATTCCCATATATCGTGAAAATAACAACTTTTTCTTTAATAACAAAAAATTATTCATCGAAAATTACATTTAAGAATGTATAATCTGCATTCTTTGATAAGTTTATTTCATGTTCACAGCATGAGTAACAGGAATCAATGGTTTAGTGTTCCCATTGTGCAAAAGTACAACTTTCAGACTAGCTTTAGATTAGTCGATAAAAAGTCTCCATTCTTGAGGATGATATTCAGTACCTAATTGTTCCATTAGTGAATGAACAGTTGTACAGAAACACAAAGTATCTTGCATGCTGTTGTGAGAAGCAAGACTTTGATGGCGACTTCAGTAAATTGAAACTCTTGTTCCTGGAGCTAATAAATTCCATTGCTGTAAACGAGAGCCAAGAAGTTCCACATGATGCTTTTACAGATACAAGTTACGAATGAAAGCACTTAGCTCTTCTTGTGTGATCAGATGAGGCAGTCTATGTTCAGATGCCACAGGAACAGAATTACTAGATGAAGAAAATGAAGATGATTCACAGTTTTCTTTGCAGTATAACTCTTCTGTTTCCCAATTCGCTGGGGGCACTGGAACACCATCTCTGTGAAGTACTGATTTCATTGCAGATGCAAGATCTTGATATTTAATGTATTGTTTAGTTTGCCCGAATATCGAGAAACATTAGTCATGCAAAAATAACAGTCAGTTAGATGATCTTTGGGTTCACGCCATATCATGGGAACTGCAAATGGCATACTTGGTTTCTTCTTGTTTAGTCACTGTGTCAAGCCAGATGTGCAAACTGTAAAACACACATGTGGAGCCCAATGTTCTTCTTGGTCACCAATTTTACACCCAAAACAGTGGTAATATGCTACCGTTACCTTGTACGTGATGCTAATTTTTCGTTACACTGTAATATAATTTCTACAAATGTATTAGAAACCGTTTGGGCGATTTTTGCACTTTGGGACTTTACTTGAGCTGGAGACATTTAGCATGTCAAATGATTTTCATAAATTAAAATCAGGATTAGAGTTCAAAAGATTTTAAAAACAAAGATTTGCAGAATTTGATTATGTTGCGGGTATAATGTGAGGATGAAAATCCGACTTTCTTTTGACTGTACGTGGAGGCGAAGTGTCCAACTGAGTGAGTGAGAGGCAACTGAGAGAGAGACATCTGACTCTGCCCCTTTAATGCTCAGTAGAGGAACATTAGCAAATTGGGCACATAAGGGTTTTGTGATTCCCGAGCAGAGCAGGGTAGCGAGGGATTGAAGCAAAAATGGCGCAATTTGCTACAATTATATCGAGGACAAATATATATACTTAGAATTTTACACCAATACAATACAGTCAATGTTTGAAGTTGTGAAAAAAAGGTATGCCTTCTATCCATTAAATTATCAAAGTAAACTTAATTTCACAGCATGATTGCATGGTATTTCACATAGTGCTGATAAAATATTGAGATGTTATAATAACTCAAAATCTAAAGGCGATAGACAAATTCTGACTATATTTTTGAAATCAGCCCCATGAAATTGCTTCGAATCACTTGAATGTTTTCCTGTGGCAAATTTTTTGTTGTCCAGTGCTATCCAAATCATTCAGAGAGGACGGTGTGCTTTAGATATGACAACCTTAGAATGGAGCATTTTGCAAAGCAAACTACGCAGCAGGTCTATTGTCAAAAAAGACTGTTGTCAGGTAGAATGTGACTGCACATGGAGACATGGGCTGGAACGACGTAGTGAGATTCCAACTCGTTTTAATATAACTAGTGTACATTTTCCTTTGTCAGCTATAGAATTTCTTTTATTTTATTTTTACTATTTCTTACTTACACTAGTTTTCAAATATTATCAGCCGGTTTGGATCACTTTACGCAAAGCACAATCGATTGTAAATCAATAAAGGGAAGTTAAAGATTGAATTGTTTTTACTTGTAGAATGAAACAAACAACAACAGCTCCAAGAAAAGAAACAAACCTATTTCATGACAATATCCAAAAGTAAAAACTACGCAACTGTACTCTGCCCACTCTAGGCGTGTTAAGCCTACAGACTTACCGCTGAGCCACAGAGGAGCACATGTCTCAGTTCTTTCTTGGAAACTTTCATGGATATTTGTTTTTGTTTGTTTTTTCTTTAGAGAATTGGCAAGTGAGATTAGTATTTATTTCATTGGAAATGCAAGCATATTTTTTTAAATTATGTGTTTTGAAGTAAATTACAAGTAAATATGTTGTACGTGATGTCAGGTAATAATGGCATTCGAAATAAAGGCGCCAGTGACAATGCAGAACGGGGAAAAAAGAATACACTAAAAATTAGTCTAGTAACAATGGATCCAGTAATAAATGGTAGTAGTGATAATGGAAAGTGAGAAACATTTAGTATGTAAACATCCTAAATATATTGTTTTGCTTGTTGTTTTTTATTGGTGTGAGTTTGGCATGGTGTGATGGTTAGGTTTGTATCGTGGGTTTGAATCCCGTCACCGAACATGGCAGCTATTTCAGCCTTAAGGCTTTATAATGTGACGGTCAATTACATTATTCGTTGGAAAAAAAGTAGCCCAAGAGTTGATGGTGGATGTTGTGGACTAGATGCTTTTCCTCCAGTTTATTTCTATGAAATTAGGAATGGCTAGCGCAAATAGTCCTCAAGTAGCTTTGAACGAAATTCAAAACAAGCAAAATTTTTTTGAGGTGTGAACTGGAAAAATATACGGTGTCAATTTAATGTGCCACTTTTTCTCACTTTGCACTATTATCAATGGCGCCATTTTTATCGGTGTCATTTTCCTCCTAGATTAGTTTTAAGTTGACGATATTTCTATGTTCAATAAAAGATATATTGTTTCTAACATTTATAAAAATTATATTTGTGTGGAAAGTAACATGAAAAGATAATTATAATTATATAAGCCAAGAATAATATTCAAATTTCACCGTTACCAACCTTAACAAACGAAATATAAACATTTTTTTCAAATAACAAAAAAGCTTCTATGCTAAGTTGGCTACCTATTTACATTACTTTTGAAGATCAAAGATAAAAATAAATGAATTTAAATGCTTGTATTTGTCCGAATTAACAATAAATTCATTGATCAAAGTGTCCAGGTGTATTTAGTAGGAGTGTCAGTGGTATTACGTAACATTTGATTATTTTTCTGATAAGAGGTTAAGGGATTTGATTAAAAATACTTCGTTTGAAATTGAATCTATTGTCCAGAGCATGGACCACATGAATGTGTAA